ACTCAGAATCTACTTCCCAAAGGGTCAAATCTGCAACAGAGCTCATGCATGAGGACAAGAAATTATCCTAGGAACAAATTATTTTTTTCCAGAATAGAGGTCAAAACTCTTGACATTCCTGTAGGATTCAATGCAGATGACACCTCCCCTTCAGAGGTGCTGAGTGGAATTGGGCATCTCCTGAACTGTCATGGCACTGTGAGGTGGGCTATGCAGTTGTATTTCTGAAAGTTCTTTGACCCCATTCTTTAGGAAAGGCAACCACATTGGCAGGGCCATTCCCTCTCAGAAGAGAGGAAAGAGTCTAAGAGTCTGCTCAGCCCAAACCAGCCAAAGCGCTTAGCAGATTCTTTCTTACAACTGTTCTGTGGAACTCTTTTTTTTTTTTTTTTTGAGGCTGTACCTCAGATGAAAATAATCCCCAAGATTTCTGACTCATCTCTCCTCCTAGTACTCCAGAAGCTGAAGCTTTGTCTGGGGTTAAGCATTTCCAATTTTTGGTGTTCCATGTTCCATAAACAGGATGAAGGAGATGAGCTCCCTAGTCCCTCCATTTGATTGATGAAGGAATTAGTGATTCCTACAGTGAGGCCCAAGGGCTTTGGCTGGCTCACCTAAACTGTAACACATTTCTTGTCAAGTGTGCTGGTTCTGTAGCGATTGAAGCAGCTGACCCTTTAAAAGGCAGATTTTTCTTTAGAAAAAAGTTGGCAGAATTGGGCTTAGAAAAGATTTTTTTTTTATTCCTTGTCCAACATGGCAGCCAGACTGCGAGTACACACAGAGCCTTAGAACATTCTGGTCATAGCATTACATATCTTGTAATATCAATGCATGCTTTTCCTTCTGTGTTTCCTTCTGTTATTTCTTCCTCTGCTTCCCAATATTTATACCCTTTGTCCCCACCAATTTTTATTTAGCATTATCTATTTATGTAGGAAAGGAATGTATACTACAAAGATTCAAGGACAGAAATAACTTAAGTTTAGGACAAAATTTTGAGTTAATCAGTTTGGGAAGAAGTAAGAAAGTCAAGAGGTCTTAGCTGCTAGTCCCCTGGCCTACTTTCCACACTTGGAGGTAGGTAGCCAGAGAAATCATCAGATAGGTTTGAGACTTCTGGAAGGGAGAGCAAGACAGTAAAAGAAAGCGAGGCGTACAGACAAGTAGCCAACATGCAGTTAAATATTAAGTCGGAGCAGGCAGGAATACTTCTTTGGCCCAGAGAGGCTGGAAGGTTTGTATGTGGGAAGAGTCCAGAAGTAGCTGATAGAACCAAAAGAGTCTTGCCAGTAGGAGTAAGGGATGATGCAGCAGCAGCTTGGACCAACAGCTGAGGGCCAGATGGAAAGATGCTCACATCAGGAGATGCTGGCATGGACAGAAGACTAAAGCCACATTTTTGCCAACATGTGCCTCACCCTTGAGTTAACCTTTAGATTAAGACAAAACTCTGGTGAAGGGAAATGAATCTGAAATCCTGACAGAATAGGAACTTGTGTTAAAATCTAGAATTATAACTGCCTTTATGTACCAACAGCCAAAATTTCTTGTCAGGTGGAAAACCCATTAGACTGTTGGTCAGATTCATCTCCTTTCTGATCTGATTGGACTACATACTTCAGTGACGATAGCCACTTTACTTCCTAAAATAGAAATGAGAGACCTTGCTCCAACAGATTCAGTCTCATTGCTTAGCTCAGACATGTCAGGATTTTTGGCTGCACACAACAGATATTAGTTCAGGTTAATGTACTCAGAAAAGGACAGAGGCTCTGAGGTTGCTATGGGAGGTACCAGCCATCCCAACTGCTGGTCTCTTGACTCTCTGCAAAAGCCCTGTGTATACATCCTCACTGTCTGATTATTCGTTCAGTAATGACAACACAGATGGACAGGAGAGAGGGAACAGGTATATGAATATACTCATTTACATACATGAAATACAAAATAGCTCAATGTATGCAAAGCAGCTTTGGAGGATATCCAAGAAATTGGATAAATTTGGTTTCCCTGGGGGAAAGTGGGTGGTGGAGAGACAGGTGTAAGGAATGTTTCTCAGCTACAATACACCTTTATTACACTTTTTGAATTTTGATCCAAGGCCATACAAAACTTATTTTAAAAATCAATTATTGGGGCTGGTGCTATGGGGGTGGGGTTACTGCCTACAGTGCTGGCATCCCATATGAGTACCAGTTCAAGTCTTGGCTGTTCCACTTCTGATCCAGCTTTCCTACTAATGTGCCTGGAAAAGCTACAGAAGATGGACCAAGTCCCTGGGGGCCTGCACCTATGTGGGAGATCTGGAAGAAGCTCCTGGTTCCTAGCTTTGCACCTGCCCATCTCCCATGGTTGTGGCCATTTGGGAGTGATCTGCCTCCTTGCTCTCTGTAACTCTACCTTTTGAATAAAATAAATTTAAATAGATCAATAATTAAAATTCTATCCAATTCAGTTACAGAGTTCAAACCTACCCCTCAATTAAAATGCTTCCTGCTTCTCCTAGATCTGATAAGAGATGTGGCTCCAGAATTCAGAGCAGAAAGAGTCAGCTCTATTTTCTTTCCCTTCCCCTTTGGTTGCTGTTCCCCTCACACCCTTGCTCTTAATTCCTGCAGGGGGAGGGTGAGATGTGGATACAATCTCTTAGATGGTACTATTTGCACTTCTCTTCCGATCTTCCACACTCTGTGGGCACTTCATGGAGTGTTCAGAAGTTCCTCTGCCCCTTCACTGCCTGGGGAACTCCCATCTGCAGTGTCCTGGTATCGGTGGGTTTGGGGTTCTTGAACTGATCTCTACTAAACACCCCTGCCTACTGCTGCCCTCTCCTCACTCGACCCTTGCCCTGGGGTCTTTCATGGTCTTTTAATATAGGTTCTCTGCCCGAGAAGGTGGTGCTCTTGAGGTAAACACTTAGCTTTCCTTTTGGCATCCCATCCATTTCACTCTTGGAATGTTGCATTACTACTTGCAACACCAAATATACTGCCAATAAGAAATGCTCCAGCCAGTTTCTGGCCGTTAGTACTCTCCAGGGAAGAGGCAGACATTAGTCTTAACATTGAAGTCTGCCTTCCAAATCCAAAATTACCCAACCACTCTACATGTATGGCACTGAGGTGGGAACATAAATGACTGAGCACCAGCCTTCCTCTGGCTAGAATTTGATGAGGATGGGGGTGGAAGGAAAGGAAAACCTAGACTGGTAACTAGTAACTCAGAAGAATCAGGCCTCTTATTAATATACAGCCTCATGCATATGTGAGCCAGCCTGGATTGTCCAGGCGAGAAGCCAAACACAGGTCTGGCCATTTCCTGTCAAATCCTGTAAACTGCTCTCCCAAGGACTGAAGAAGGTGATAGCCTGCTCTCCTCAGCTTTAGGGTTCTAGCCAAAATTGTGAGACAAATAGAAATGTATTATTCCACATTCTACTTATATTGGTTAAATCTTCAGAATATCATCCTGACATGTGAAGAAAGTTCTTAGCTATAACAATAATAAGGCCAATCATCATTTATCGATATTGCTTAGGACGTACTAAGACCTTGACATGCTAAATGTGTTTCCTGCTCACAACACTCTCATGGGATAGGGACTTTCAACTTCTTCCCACATGAAAACCTAAAACCCAGGGGCTGCCCAGAGAGAGGCAGGGCTGGAATTTAAATCCACATGTGTCTGATGCTCAAGCTTAATCTGCAAATAAAGATGCCAGGTATATTTACTGTCTAATGCAACTGCCCCCCACCCCCGAAGTGCAGTGCGAGTGTCATTTTTCAAAGGAGTAATATATCCTTAAGTTCATCACATTCCCTATGGATTCCTTAGTAATGTATATACTTCTGTTTCTCCTATTTACAAATTCAGCTCATCAAATAATGAGCTTTCTCTTTGTCCTGGCATTGTTCTAGGTGTTGGAAATACATAAGTGTGTAAAACAAGCAAAAAAATCTCTCCCTTTATAGAAACTATACATTCATTAAAGTCATACTGAAATAATTTTGTAACTATATGCTTTATCAATTATGTGACATTAAATGTGTAACTACTATCTAGTGAAAGCTCAGGAAGGATTTTGTGATTTAGTATGGGTCTCATACTGAACATACTTGGAAAGCACTGATACACTATTTAACTGAGAAATTCACTTATCACAAGGGCACGACCTTCTGGATGAGGGAGTTTGTTTGCAGTCGAGTTCCACTCCAGACTGAAAACATTCGGGACACAGAGGAAACATATTGATATGATGAGGCACCTCAGGAGCAGGAGCAAGGCTTCAGATTAGGATTGCTTTTATCTTTTGTTTTCCTTTTGACCCTGCGACTCTGAAGAAGTGCTTGCTGGAGTAAAGTCACATGACCCCCAACTCCTCAGGGAAGAGGCGCACTAGGTGCTCGTTAAGACGTCTATCATGACTTGTTTAGCTCAAAGGTTCCCAAATTCAGGAAAGGTGTCAGTAAGCCAACTTGGTCTTTCTGTCTCGGACCTTCCCTTCGCCGGTCACTGGCGGGAGCAGATTCGCTACGACCGTCAGCTATCCTTCCGGATCCTGCGCAAGGACAGGCGATAGAATGAGGGGGCAGGCGACTGGCCTAGGACACCGGGAGTTCTGGCGCGACTCCTCGCATCCCACCTCGCTGTCTCTCCGCTCCTTTTGCCCCAGCGTCCCTCAATCTCCTCAGGTTTGACTGTCTGCTTACGTCCTCGCTTCCCTTCGTGGAAGTTCCCACATAAGCTACAAACTACATTTCCCACAATGCCACGTACAGCCCAGTCTCCGTGGTATCTCCCTAAGATGCCGTTATAATTAAAATAGCCCAAATTCACATTTCTGAGGAAGAAACGACTTATTAACTTCTTCCCAAAAAGTTATCGCTTCTTTTTCCCCCTCACATAACACCTACTTTCGGCAAACGACCTGTGGTCCAGAAAATTCTGACAGGCGACTGCTTTGGCCACCCTCCTCCTGAGGCTTCGGGGCTTGCTAGGTCCCCGGGGACCTAGCGGTGTCATTGGCGGATGACCGCAGCTCTAGCTGCTGCCGCGTCCACCGCGACCATGGTCTCTGGCAGCAGCGGCCTGGCGGCCGCCCGCCTACTATCACGCACGTTCCTCTGTGAGTCGGGCCGGGACTCCATCCTCCTGTCCCTTAGGTGCTCGGGGTCCGCAGGTCCCCACCGTCCGCGCCAGGCCGCAGCTGCGTCCTCCTGGCGGGACCTCGGCGAGGGCTGGGGAGCCTTGTGGGGTGACCTGAGCTTTACCGGATACGTGGGGCAGGGCCCCGAGTCAGGCCGCTGGAGGATGGTGACCCGGAGCCGGGAGCGTGACGAGGGGAGCGGCGGGGCGGCGCCTGGCCTGGCCCGGTGTGGCGTGGGGAGTGCGGAGGAGCGGGGCGGACTCAGCCCGGAGAGTGTCTGGGTGGAGAGAAGGGGCACACGAGCTTTCTAATAGGAAGTGGGAGCTGGAGCTGTTTGTACTGCGGAGTCCGCAGTCGGAGTCGTGCTGTCTGCAGACCGAGGGTCTGGGCAGTGGCCGTGGCCCGCACCCTTCCTCCAGCCACTTAATTGCCCTGTCTCCACCTGGCGGCATGACCCTCAGGTTGCGAAAACTGAACGCGCAGGGTTGCTGGTCTTTGAGTAACGCTGCCTGCTGAAAATTCTTGCCTGTGTTCAAAGTCTGTAAGTTAGGGCTGGAACAAACTTTGGAATTCACCACATCCGAGTTTGACGTCTGGTTGTTCTGGTGCCTGCTGTGTCATAACCTCGGGCGCTTTTTCTCGAATCTGTTTCTCAACAAATGGTTCAAACCACCCCCCCCAAAACCATATCCTGTTCGATTGAAAGTGAGGCGCCAGCACTTGTAAGGTGCATGATTCTGTCTGGCGCCAGAAGTGGAAAAGGATTACTGGTTAAAGTTATGACGCTGTTATTTGGCAGGCGCATCGTGATTGAAGATGCTTTGCAAACTAGAGCTTTCAGAGGCTCTGGGTTCTTTATGCAGCCGAAGAAATTGACGCAAAATGTCCAGTGTGTAATACGTGGCTACATCTCTTTTCCTTTCTTCCGCCTTGCTTTATAATTCTGCTGCTCATGCTGAGTGTTGAATAAGACTTCGTTTCTTTCTTAAGGCGATGTTCCCAAAGTGTACAGCGGTGAACAGGCCTTCAGGGCTTTGTTTTGTTACCAGAGCACTTCAGGGCAGAGGTCTGACTGGATAACTGGTGAAATAGGGAAGAATTGGTTTGTTTGGGAAAGTTTCTTGCAGTTTTTTATGCAATCACTTGAGGGTGTTTTAGGCATTAGGGGGGAGTGGGGAAGGATTAGTTATGCCCAGTAATCCCTTTGGTCAGTGGAGTTTTGAGAACAAGGCTCGAAGAAGTAATGGGTATTGACTTACACTAACTCGTTTGAAGGGAGCACGGTTTAAAATGTGGAAGGTGAGATGGGTAGCCTGGCCCTGGGGGCGGGGGTGGCCCCAGGAAAGTGTGGGCCGCCTGTGTCTTGCTCTGGGCCCTTGCCGGGCTGAGGTGCTGGGGAGTCTCGCCTTGGGTGAGTGGACTGTTGGAATAGGAGAGGCATCCAGAGAAGGAGGCAGCTAGAGCAGTAGGCCCCTTCGTTTACCCCAGCAGCACCTAATGACACTTCACCAATCCTCCTCTCACAGAACAAGTGTTTTTCTTCCTAGATCCCCTGGTTTGTTTTTCTGTTGCTGGAGTTGCCGTCTTGGATTCTACAAGTCCTGTGATTAGCCTGAGAATTGAATTATCTGAGAAGTTTGAGATCTAAAGCAATATAGTGTCTATACAAGAAGTTGGGTTACAGACAACAGTCTTTTTAATGTATAAAGCCCAATAAATACACAAAGCACCAACTCATCTTTCCTGTGCACAGTTTGAAAAGGCAGCAGCCACAACACTACTTTGCAAACTTCTTTTAAGTTGCTCACAAATGATGGTCTGAAGGTTAATCGAAACTAGAGAGGCAGGTGTTAGCACCGTGGCTTGGTGGTCTTGCTGTTTACCCCAGCAGGCCTGTGTGAGTCCACTTCCTTCTGCTCTACTTCAGCGTCCTGCGAGGCAGCAGATGATGGCTCAACTCCTTGGGTCCCTGCCATCCACATGGGAGACCAGGTGGAGTCTAGGCTCCCTGCTTCAGCCTGGCCCAGCCCCAGCTGCGGCTGGTATTTGTGCAATGAACCAGGCCATGGAAGGTTTCTCCATGTCAGGCTGTTTTTCAAGTAGATGAAAATGAATACGTATTTTTTAGAGGCTAGAAATGCTAGAAAATGTTGTTACCTCTGTTCTCTTTCATTTCTGCTGATGGTGCACTACGTGCTGAAGGTAGTAAGTGTTGGAATATTGATTTGAGTTCAAAAAGAGAACAACAAAACACGTAACTATGCCTTCCAGAACTCTTGAAAGGGGTAGCTTAGAATGTTAGAAAATTTTGATCCCCTAAGCCCTCTAAGTCACATAGCTTATGAAAAAAAGGAAAGAGTCCAATTAAAATTGGGAAAGAAAATAAAGTGAGATTTCTGTTATAAAGGTTTAAGTTTTATAATCATCTTTTAAATAATGATGTTTCAGGAGATCCTAGAAATTCTGTATTTTAAAATTTCAAAATTATGAGGTTTTAAGCCCCAGAAAGTGAACCTCACAGTCTGTAGGGTTCCCCACCTTTGGCAAATGAGAAAATAACTGCAGAGACTCTCCCAGCCATACCACAAGGGATACGAGAGCCTGGGCTTTTGACTCTACAGTGTCCTTTCCATTAATGTGTGCTGTGTGATAATTTGAACATTTTATTTGAAGTGCTGGGTTTTTTTCCTTTTTCTTTTTTAGTAGTCTCAGGTTTCTTGAGAAGGTCACTGCACTATTCAGTTGTACCACTTGGTGTTTTACCGTTACGCTTGCCAAGTTGTGTAGGACTGTTTTTAGAATCAGGAAAATGTTTAGAAATGTAGTAGGAAAAGGAGACTCTGAATCATTAATGCTTCCGATGATAATGTGTTATTGCAAGGCATTAACATCTTTGTTTTGCAAATCTTTGTTTTGCAAATCTTCGTTTTATAGTTTGGAAGTATGGGACAGCCATGGTCCAAATATTCAACTATGACTGTGAGAAAATGTTTTGATTTTTAATATCACTAGTTCTTCCATAGAAATGTAGTTGGAGATATTCAAAATAATTTCTTTTAAGGATAGAGGAAGTTTCGTTTGGCCAAAGGATGGGCATTTTATTGGCTTAGGCCCGCCCTTCTTTTTTATTATATTATAGTATTAGAGCAAGGGATCTTGCAGCTTCTGGTTCACTCCCTGAATGGCCACATGGCCGGAGCTGCGTCAAGCAGAAGTTAGGAGCCTGGAGCTTCCTCTGGGTCTCCTACATTGTCACAGGGTCCTAAGGGAGTGAGCCAGCCTCACCTGCTTTCCTAAGCCATAATCGGGGGACTGGGAAATAGAGCAGTTGGGACTTGGAAGTGGCATCCACATGGGAGGCCAGTGTGCCAGCCCTGACAGCATTTTTTCTTACTAATACTTGATAGTGCTTAAAAACATTGTGTATTAGATTTGATGAAATATGGCACAGTCAATAAAGCTTCCTGTGTGAGTCAATATTAAAAATATAATTTCACATTTGAATAGGGCATTGTTTAGGATTTGGGGCTAAATGATTACTAACCAGTCCAACAGGCAGGTAACAGTAGCCTTGGCATTACATTTGCATACTACATATGGTTAATAAGTATATGTTAGTTAAATTCACAAGTATGTGGGTGAATAAATGAGTAGCAGGCATGGAGTTGGAGTTAGGAGTATGTTTATGAACAGAGTCTTAGGATATTGGTTAGGAACACAGTGCTTGTCACACAAGGGTGTGGCTTGTGTCCACCTGGGCACGTTCACTTTGGACATAGACTGCACCATTTGTCTTGCTGGACAGTTCATAATGTTGCAATTGTTGCTGAAGAACAGGATTTGAATATGTGACCTACTGGTCCAAATGCCTTACTCCCTGTAAAAGCACATGTCTGAGACTCCCTAATCCGCTTCCTTCATCATTGTTACAGTTTGCACTTTCATTTTTGCTTAATGTTCAGGGCAGAAAGGGCTTGAGTCTGTCTTGTTCAGCTTGTGGATGTCTGACACCTGCTGGGTGATAACCTGCCTCAGTGAATGCCACAGAGCAATTTGGTCTGCTCATTCCACATCAGTAATAAACAAAATAGCTGGGCCTGGTGTGGTAGCCTAGTGGCTAAAGTCTTCTCTTTGAACATACCAGGATCCCATATGGGTACTGGTTCTAATCCCGGCAGTCCCGTTTCCCATCCAGCTCCCTGCTTGTGGGCTGGGAAAGCAGCCGAGGACAGCCCAAAGCCTTGGGACACTGCACCTGTATGGGAGACCCGGAAGAAGCTCCTGGCTCCTGGCTTTGAATTGGCTCAGCTCTGGACATTGCAGCCACTTGGGGAGTGAACCTTTGGGCGGAAGATCTTCCTCTGTCTCTCCTCCTCTCGTATATTTGATTTTGCAATAAAAATAAAATCTTAAAAAACAAACAACAACAACAAAGATAGCTATTAGTAATCCAGTGCTTCCCCTCCTGTAGGCATTACTTGATGTGCTTTATATATTATGAACTAAGTCTCACATCAGACTGTGAGGTAATAAAAATTATCCTCATTTTTACAGTGAGCTTGCAATATCACAAATCCTTTATTTGTTAAACACTGTGTGTACATACCATGTGTAGGCATGAGTTAATATGTTTATAAAAAACATAGAATATCCATTAGAATATATATTAAAACATTATGGCTGGGCTTACTTGGTTTTTAAAATATGAACCATGGGTTTTGTTTTTTTTAGGACAAGATTCAGATTTTGTGCCCTTGTAGATTTGTGGACCCAATTATGAGAGTGTACAAGGGACTGCTACCCTCTGCATAGAGATCATCTCATAATAACCTTGCAGCTTCCCCACTGACAGCTGGTGCTTCATTTACAGATAGGAAGATCAAAGCCAATACTGATGAAACGACAGGCTGTGGATTCTGGGCCGTGGCTGGCGAGCAGCAGAGCAGGCCTGTCTGCCTTGGTGGTGTTCCCAGTGGCTCCTGGGACACAGCCCCAGGGTGAGGGTGGCCTGTATGGGGAGAAAATGTTGCCACTGATTCCCCTGCAGGTGTCCCAGGATATGCAGCGACAACTATCACCATTAGGGAGTTCTGGTGACCAAATACTGGCCACCTTGCTGTCTTAATATTTAATTAAAAATGCTCATTTTGTCATTAATAATAACGTTAGAAATTTCATCATACATTGCTTTAACTTTTGTCATCAGTTGTGTTTCTTGTGTATGGCCCTTTTTGTTTCTTCTGTTAGGGAAGGGCAAGAGTGGGCCTTGAGTGACAGAGTGGGCTGGTTGGGCTCTGCTGCTCATTCAGTGGAGATATCTTGGGCCTCGGTTCCCTGCTGCATCTGCCGACCTGGGGTCAGGTACTGAGTTGCTGTTGCTGAATTGGGACTTGACTGTCACTCTCCCTCATGGCCCCTTGTTCAGCAGTCTGTTACCCAGCAGTTCTGTGGGTGCACACAGCAGTCCTTTCCTGGATAGTAAGGCGGGATTTGGGGCCCATCCTTCCCTTGGAGTCCCAGGGGACTTTAGGTCACACCTGCTAGGAACAGACACTGGTGATCCTTGTAGAACATGAACCCTGAGGATTTAGGGGAGCATGAAGCAGAAAGCATGATGTTGGTGGGTTATGGGTAATGTATGATGAGAGAAGATGTTCTTTTCTGGTTGTGGGCTTCATGGGCTACCTCACTGGGAGGTGGGGGCCTGACTGCTTAGAGGAGTCTTGGGTTGGCCCTAGAGAGGGCAGATTGGTTAGCTGTAAAGCAGGGTTAGAAGCTAGACACCATTGTCAGTCGTGTGTTTTTCTTCTTACTGAATTTTGAAGTAAGGAGCTGGTAACAATTGAAAAATTGTGGATTTTTCTGTTTTCTTAGTTATTGTGAAAAATGGCAGTATTTTTAAAAAAATAAACTTCTCATATCCCTTCCTATGATTTCCATATTTGTTTTTTTGTGAGTCCTTGTGTCCTACATCAGAAGAAATCAAATTGACATTGTTTATATTTTAGATGAGTTTTATTCTATGACTTTTTTTAGATTATTTTTTATCTACTTCAAAGGCAGTGCTACAAAGAGAGAGGGAGAAATAGAGAGCAAGGCCTTCCTCTGCTGGTTCACTCCTCAAATGACTGCAGCAAGCAGGAACCAGAACTTCTTCCCAGGTTTTGCCCGTGGATGCACTCCAGCCATCCTGTACTGCTCCAGCGCATTGCATTAGCAGGGCGCCTGGGTGGGATGCTGTTGCTTCAGGTGGCCACTTGACCCGTTAAGCACCAGCACTGGCCTCCGTGACTTAACATTTAATGTATTATTCCTGGGCAGCGAGTTGCAGAGTAGTTGTCACCTATACCCCTGACACATTGTGCCCTCTTAGCTCATTTATTGTTTGTTGTTATTGGACTTAAGAATACTGAGTCAAATGGGAAACCACGTGGCAGTTTAATAACTGTTATTGATGGGGGTAATACCTGGTTTCTAGTCCTCACTTTTAATTTGATATGTTTGTCTTTGAACCTCACTTTGCTTTTGGAGAATGAAGATAATAAACCAACTTTCCTGTTTTGGTTAAGAAAACATTACAAGATTTGGTAATGGGGATCCTGAAGAATAAAGCAGGGTCTATTATTATTATATATTATTATTATCTGCTGTACTCAGTGTGTTTCATTAGAAAATGACATTTGGAAGCAGGCAGTTAGCCTAGTGGTTAGATGACTGTGTCCCACTTCAGAGTGCTTGGGTGGGATTCCCAGTGTTGGCTACTTATTCCAGATTCCTGCTAATGCAAACTTCCTGGGAGGCAGTGGTGTGGCTCAAGCAGCTGGGATGCTGTGCCCCACATTTGAGACTGGGTTCTGCTCCTGAAGCCCTGACCCAGCCCCCGAGGTTGAAGACTTTTTAGGGGAGTGAGCTTGCAGATGGGAGCCTTCTGTTTTCTTACTGTCTCTCTGCTTAATTAAAGAAAGTACCATTTAAATTTGCTGTAATCATAGGATACTCTTGTAGTAAAGGTTTTTTTTTTTGGTGGGGGGTGTCACCAAGTTGAATTCATGGTTTCAAAGATGAGAAAAATTTCATAATATATCATGTTTACTTTTCAGTGCAACAGAATGGGATTCGACATTGTTCCTATACAGCTTCCCGGAAGCATCTGTACATTGATAAAAATACAAAGGTTATTTGCCAGGGTTTCACTGGTAAGCAGGTATGTGTATTTGGATTTTTGTTAAAAATTTTTTTTTCTATTTTTAATATTACAAAAGTAATAGGTTACTCTTGCTGAAAAATATACTGTGTAGTGTTAAGGCTGAACATTTAGAAGAGAATGGGTGCTATAATCAGCTGTGAGATGAAAGTTTTGTTTGTTTATTAAAGCTTTTATTAATTTTACTTAAGAGTTACAGAGAGAGAAGGAAAGACATAAAGAGAGATCTTTCACCCACTGTCATGCCCCAGGTCCCGCAGTGGCCAGAGCTGGGCCATTCTGAAGCTAGGAGTGTCTTCCTGGTCTCCCATGTGGGTGCAGGGGCCCAAGCACTTGGGCCATCTCTGCTGCTTTCATAGGCCATAAGTAGAGAGCTGAATTGGAAGTGGACCGCCTGAACACACACCGGCACCCGTATGGGATTCTGGCACCTCAGGCAGATGCTTAGCTTGCTGTACCATCGTGTTGGCTCTGAAAATTATTTTTAAATTTATCTTGAAAATCCATGGACTGTGACATATTGTTTTAAAATGACTACAGTGCCACTTATTTTCTGCCAGTGTTGAATCTGATCATTGTTTTTAACAATTGATAAAGTAGGTTGCTGCTGTTCAAAAAGTGTTGTGCAGAATCTACCTGCAGTACAGAGAAATGCTGAGATGGTCATGGGAACTGAGCAGGGCAGCGGCAACAGCACGTTGACATTCCCCATCACTCACAGGGACTTACAGGCAAGATCGCCTGAAGGATTTTAATTTGTTCTCATTCACTTAGTTATTCTCTTTCTTCTCTGCCTACATCATAGAAGTTGTATACGTTTAAATATATCTGTCATGTGATTTATGATGAAATCACAAAATGAATATCTCCTTTTTCTTATTGTTTGTTCCCTAAGAATTGCTTTTGTTACTAAGTTAGCATGAACTTGGAAGTGTATTTGATGCAAATGGCACAGTAAAGCCACGAAGCAGGTGGTTCCTGAGGCCTTTGTGCGGAACAGATTGAAAGTGAGCATGGACAGTAATCCCTGAAGAGTTTTGGGTAACTTAGGTCAAGGTGGCAGCAGTGAAAAGGGAAACTGTTGTTTATGATTTGAAGGTAGAGCTGTATAATTTATTAATGGGCAGGTCTGGGTTATAAGAAAAAGAGAAGAAGTCAGGGTGACTTCCCTGGTTTTTGTCTGAATGTTGGTAGAGGTTGTTCCTGAGATGGGCGGGACTGGGGAGGGGCGTGGTCAGGAGTGCAGGTTCAGAGCTTGTTCAATCTGCGATGCTCACTGCACCTCCAAGTGTGGATAGGCAGCTGACGGGGTCAGGGTAGCGTCCAAAGCAAATGTCTGGGCTAGATTCGCATAGTGGAGTAGAGTGGCTGTGTATATAGTGAGGAGGGGATCATCCCATGGATGGTATTGCTGTGATAAGTGTGATATCACTCAGGACATGAATTTGGAGAAAATAGGAAAAGTTTAAGAGAAAGCAGAGGAAAACTAAAGGAGGCAAATAGAGCTTTAGAAGCTTAGCCAAAACAAACAACCAACAACAGCAGCTTAATTCCTGGAGACAGTTTTGGTTGTCTCAGATTGGAGGAAGGAAGGACATGGTCCTGGCAAATGGGTAGAGGTAAGGAATGCTTTTAAATAACCTGTGAAGCACAGGATGATTTCACATAACAGTAAAAAATCACGTGTCCCAGTGGCCACCGAGGCTGTGGTTGGGAGAGAGAGAGTGGGCAGGGAAGTAGTAGCTGGGCAGCATTAAAAGCTCGCTTAAGATGGCTAGAATGGAAGGCAGCTTTACAGGCAGGAAAGACTTTCTTGATGATCAGTAATTTAAAGTGAGAGCAGCCAACACGACTTTGTTTTGTTTTCTCTAGTCACTGGCTGCACAACCACAGTCTCAAAGTAGGTAGCACACGGGGTTTAGCCAAGGTTTCGGTTTTATTACATGTGTAGTTTCAAGTGAGGGAGATCCAAGGTTGTTGGGTGGGTATAATGCTTGACCACAGATTTTAAACTGAGTAAAGACAAGGGTGAGGAGAGAGGGAATTTAGGAAGAGATGTTCTTTTAAGTAAACACCATAGTATTTCTGGTCTTCAACCAACTTGGAAAATAGAATAAAAATAGGCTAATTTTCATAACTATTTTGGTTCAAAACTGTACATAGTAAGTTAATGAATACACTGGGTAACTTTACTGTCTGGGAAAAGTTAACCTATTTGTTTTTCTTTTCCTAAGTGGCCAACATTGCCCTTTGAACTCTTAGCTTCCCAGTCTGCCTTTTCTTATGGATCCTCTGTTTTTCCCATTAGGGCACCTTTCATAGCCAGCAGGCCTTGGAATATGGCACCAAACTGGTTGGAGGAACCACTCCCGGGAAAGGAGGCAAGACACATCTGGGTTTACCCGTCTTCAATACTGTGAAGGAGGTAATTAATGGCACCTGAGTTTGGCAAGGAAAGAAGGGAAAGAATGTGCTTTATTTGGGTACAGTTTTTAAATTTGTCCCATTTGGTGGAATCACTGTTTGCTATTTTAAAATCTAACAACCCAAAGCAATCTGAATTATAGTGAAAAACTGGAATATCATTTTTGTTTATAGACATGCATCAGCTGTAAAGGTAAGAAGTGCTATGATTGGCAGTTATCTTTTTGCTTTGTTATCTTTTGCTTACCTTTCGTTGGGATGTCAGCAGCCACCTGCTAACTCTTCATGTGTGCAGGACTATGCTAGGTGCTTTGTACAGATTGTCTCACTTGGGCCTTACTCTCTGAGGCGGTGCTGTGAACCCACCACTGCCTCTCCCTCTCTGCCTTTTTAAGGCAGAGTTACAGGGAGGGAGAATAAGAGGAATGTTTCATCTACTGGTTCACGCCCTAAATGGTCACGATGGCTTAAACTGACTAAGTTGAAGCTAGAAACCAAGAGCTTCATTCATCTTGGTCTACCACATGTCTCACAGGGGCTTCAAGTACGTGGGCCATCTTTTGCTGTGTTCCAGGTATATTAGCAGGGAGCTGGATTGGAAATGGAGTGTCCTGGACTTGAACGTGGGATGGGATACTGACCTCACAGATGGTGGCTTAACCTGTGGTCGCTGTCATCTCCCTTCTAAAGACAAGAGTAATGCTGGTGCAGAGAAGTTAAATATCTAGCCATGTTTTCACAGTTAAAAAGTGACACAGAGGAAGGCTCAGCATAAATAATGTCATCTTCTGCATGCAAACCGACAAATCACATGGTGCTCATTCCTAATCTAAATTTCTGATTTCTTAGTATTTTTTAAATGCTTTATGAACTAAACTTATTTTGCTAAAGCTCTTCTAATGTGTACCTTTGTAAAAATTCACATGTTTCAAAGTTCTTGCTTTCCATATTTCAGATTTTGCTAGTTTAAATTTTATGTATTCTCTCAGTTTTACTCTAATAAGAACATATACAGATGGGCCCAGCACGGTGGCTCAATGCTAAATCCTCACTTTGCAGCACTGGGATCCCATATTGGTGCCAATTTGTGTTCTGACTGCTCCACTTCCCATCCAGCTCCCTGCTTGTGGCCTGGGAAAGCTGTGGAGAATGGCCCTGAGCCATGGGACCCTGCATTGTGAAAGCAGCTCCTATCTCCTGGCTTTGAGTTGGCTCAGCTCCAGCTATTGCAGCCACTAGGGAAGTGAGTGAATCAGGGAATAGATCTTAGTCTCTGTCTCTTCTGTCTATAAATCTGATCTGCCTTTTCAATAAAAATAAATAAATCTTTTTCTAAAGATCCTGGTGTGTTCAAGGAGAAGATCCTTATTTTTTTTAAAAACTAACTTACAGGGCCCACCGCGATTGCGCAAATGGTTAAGGTCCTCGCCTTGCATGCCCGGGATCCCATATGGGCGCCGGTTCTATCCCGGCAGCCCCACTTCCCTTCCAGCTCCCTGCCTGTGGCCTGGGAAAGCAGTCTAGGACGACCCAAAGCTTTGGGACCCTGCACCCGTGTGGGAGACCCGGAAGAGGCTCCTGGCTACGGATCGGCATAGCATCGGCCATTGCACTCACTTGTGGAGTGAATCATCAGACGGAAGGTCTTCCTCTCTGTCTCTCCTCTCTGTATATCCACCTTTCCAATAAAAAATAATAAAAATAAATCTTAAAAAAAAAAAACTAACTTATAAAACTTAAAGGAAGAAAAAAACTTGAAAAAACATTTTTAAAAAGACATTAAATTATTCCTTTGTAAAGGAACATGATTTACAGCCTTTGTTACTTTTTCAATCATACTCTACTTCAAAACACAAATACATACACAGGCTACCCTATCTTCAAGTTTAAAGTAAACTGAAAACCACAAAGTTTTAGGATTTTTTGTATTTGAGAAATAAGAGTACAAATCAACATCAAGTTGATTAGTATTTTTAAAGAGAACGAAGTCTACAAATCTGTAAATTTCAAAATGTAATACTTTAAAATATATACCATAAAAGCATGTCAAACCATTATACCATATTTCTACATATGTATTCTTTTTTCTTTTAAGATTTATTTATTTCTGGGCCTAGCATGATAGTGTAGTGGTTGAAGTCCTCACCTTGAACACCCCAGGATCCCATCTGGGCACTGGTTCTAACCCCGGCAGTCCCGTTTCCCATCCAGCTCCCTGCTTGTGGGCTGGGAAAGCAGTCAAGGATGGCCCAAAGCCTTGAGACCCTGCACCCATGTGGGAGACCCGGAAGGAGCTCCTGGCTCCTGGCTTTGGACTGGCTCAGCTCTGGACGTTGTGGCCACTTGGGGAGGGAATCATTGGATGGAAGACCTTCCTCTCTGTGTCTCCTCCTCTCTGCACAAATAGGTGTAGCATTTGGATGCAATGTTCTGTAAATTCTTTGACAGATACTATGTCTCTCACCTGTTCAGCTTTACAAGGAGCTTTCTGAGGAGTGGGATGGATTCCTTTTATCTGGTGTGATTTCCAGCCAGCACGTTGTTCTTTGCAGCATTATTAGGTAGACAATGATGGGATGTAGTTTTAAATAGAATATCTACATGCCTGTGGTTTAAATGATTTTGTTTCTAGGTTTTTAAATTTCTTTTGCTCCCCTCTATCTTCATCTTGAACAGGTTTTGTTTTTGTTTTTAGATTTATTTCTTTTCAAGAGAGAGTGAAAGATCTTCCAGCCCTTGGTTCATTTCCTCAATGCCTGTAATAGCCAGGACTGGGGCAGGACAATGCCACGAGCCAGGAGCGTCCTGTAGGTCTTCCAAGCGGGTGATAGAACCTGGGAAGTTGAGCCGTCACCTGCTGCATCTGGGGTGCACACTGTCAGGAAGGTGGATCGGAGGGAAAGGTGGGACTGCATCTCAGGCATTCATGTGTGGGATGTGAGCAACCTTACACCACAGTGCCTACCCCTGTACAGAGTTCTTCACAAAATGATTTTTGACTCCCAGCATCATTTGTGGATTATTTGTCAACATCTTTTGCCTTTGATCTTGTGTTACTCTCATGATACTTGTGTTTGTTAGGGATGCAGTTTAAAAAAAAAAAGCTTCTCAGTCTCTGGGCAACTGGGCTATTCAAGAAGGATTCTCAAGGCACTGCCTTTTACCTCTGTCTCTTTCTCGTTATACCTATATATTCTGTACCTTAGTATGCCTTGTAAACTCATGCTGGTGTGTAATGACTTGGCTTCAGTATCTGGTTTGTAAAGCTTGGGTACTAAGCAAGCATTCAGGATTGCTAGGATAGGTGTTGTTGCTTTTAGAGAGCCGGAGATCATCAGTTATTGTTCAGCAATGTCTCTTACTGTAGAAGCGATATAGCTGCACGTGGAGACAGTTTGATGGATACATCTGTATTTATATAGGTGGAGAGTATGTAAAGAAAGACCAAAGGCAGGTTCATGTCAGAGGAAGGAACAGCAATAAATAAATAAATAAATAAATAAATAAATAAATAAATAAATAAATAAATAAATAAATAAGGTCTCTTTAAGGATCTGCATTATAGTGGGTGATAATGGTAGGGTCTGTTGTTTGTTTGACTCCTTTCTTATTCTATTTCCCTTCAGGCATATGCACTTTAGTTCTATTTGTTTTTAATAAGTGTGTGTTTGGAGTAAAAATTATAGGCAAAAAAACTTCTTTTGCTGTGTTCTTGACAATCTTTACCAAGTGTGATGTATGTTTAAAGAGATGTTGAAGAAACAAGTTCTGGCGACTTGGGGACTTGTCACTAGATCTCGCTCTCCTGGGCAGGTTCCAGCTTTTGGGTACTGGACTAGTGGTACAGTGTCTTGGGTACTCTTTCTTGGTCACTGTGACAACAACAACAATAAGTGTGCCACAGGAATGAGGGTACACAAGTGTAAATCTGACAGTGCTCTCAGGTTTACTGACTTGACATCATCGATCTTGTAATTCATGGTAGTTTTCAACATGGGACAGAGAGGAAGCTCGGCTTGATTGTGTTCTTGTCTGTCTAGTGAACCTGAGAATGGGAAGAATGAAGACATTTTGTCTCTTTTGAGTGCTATCTTTTCCTGATCTCAAAATGGGATTAGAATCTTGCTGTTGATTTTATTTCCCACTGGTTATGAATGAACTAATAAAGTGTCTCATGGATGTTGTTTCAGGCCAAAGAACAAACAGGAGCAACTGCTTCTGTCATTTATGTTCCTCCTCCTTTTGCCGCTGCCGCCATTGATGAAGCTATTGAGGCAGAAATGCCCTTGGTGGTGTGCATTACTGAAGGCATCCCACAGCAGGACATGGTCCGGGTCAAGCATAAACTGCTGCGCCAAGGAAAGACAAGACTCATCGGGCCAAATTGCCCTGGAGTCATCAATGTGAGTTGAAAAAGTTACAAAAGAAAAAAAAAAAACACCACTAGATTTAGCCTTTCAACAGGATAAACAATTTTGAATAACTCTAAGCAAAATTTTATATATGGCCTGTGAGTTTTATTTCTTTACTTTTCTCAAACTATAATTGACTGTGTTATTTTCAGCCTGGAGAATGCAAAATTGGCATCATGCCTGGCCATATTCACAAGAAAGGAAGAATTGGTGAGTTTGTTATCTTTCTTATAGATTAAGAAAAATTTTTTGCCTGAACTCTCAAAACTTACAAAGAGAATTTATGAGTGTACAAATAAAAACATTTTTCAAAAATATTTGACTTTAGTAGTATTTACCTGGGGAAGTTTTTTCGTAAATCAATTTTATGTTCTGGGAAGCACTTACAGTTCTGCAGAATCAGTGAAGATGTTGGTAATGGAGTAGAGGGATAGTGTAATGTTTTCTTGCTTAGCACACTGTGTCCTTCTGTGTGTTTGCATGTCTTAGCAGTAAGTTTCAGTTTGTTACTGTGCTACAGCTTGTTTATCCATTCTTCCCTTAATGAATATTTGGGTTGATTCCATATTGGACCCTTATGAACAGGGTCAAGTAAATATTCTGTTGGTAGACATGATTAATTTCTCTTAGGTACAATACTTTGGAATAATATTATTAAGTTACAGGGTGGAGTACGATCATCTTTAACCAAAAAATTGCAAAATGGTTTTTTTGAAGAGGCTGAATAATTTTGTGTTCTTGCCTCCAATGCATGAAAATTTAGTTGTTATGTATTTTTGCTAGCATATAGGATTGATAGCTTTTTTTCTTTTAATTTACTTATTATACAGGGAGCAAATAGCATCTTATTGTGGTTTTAATTTCAACCTTCCTCATTGGCATTTGGTGTTGTCACTATTTTTTATGTTAGCTATTTTGAGAACTGTTTAGTGATATTGCATTGTCGTTTTCATTTTTACTTCTCTAATGGCTAATAATATTGACCATTTTTTCACCTTCTCAATTCTCATCTGTATACTATCTTCAGTGGAATACAGCCCTCCTGCCTTTACTGTTCACATTCTTATTGGATTATGTGTTTCTTTCTATTATGAGAGTTCTTTATGTATTCTAGATATTAGTACTTTGATAGATATGTCTGTATCTATAAAAACTTTTTGGGATATTGTTAGGAATATAGCAAGAACACAGCTAGCAGTCATTCCCCATGTAATCCTCTCAAAGATAGGTCCTTAGGGAAAGGAAGGGAGGCCATGTTGAGGAAGCCACTGAGAAGGACCTTGGACCTTATTGATTTAAAATCTATATACTGATTGAAGATCATTGGAAAAATAGTTGTGGGGAAGGTGGCTGATGGCCAGTTTTGATGGTTTGGTAGTTTGGTTACCTGAATAATCATCTGTTATGTTCTGGGGCCCTAAGCAGGATTGTACCCATCAGTTTCATATTGATATCCCTTTGATAAAGATTCTCAGAAGACATAATTTGTGTTTTTCTTGTATTTGCTTCTGCAGTTATTTGTGGTTATTTTAGTTACTTGTAGGTTAGTTACAAAGTTGTAAAATAACTTTAATATGCTTTCTTCTCTATCTACATTTAAAAACTTCCCTACTTTAATTTTAGCTTTTTCTTTTCATTTGAGGATATTAATTCATTTGGATGGAAAATCATGGAGTGAATTTTATGTATACTCATGTTAATTACTCCAAGTTTTAAAAATTTACTTTACCTTATGATAGTCTATGCTTTAAACAACACTTAATAGGTTTTAATTCTCTTCCTTTTAGGTATTGTGTCCAGATCTGGCACCCTAACTTACGAAGCAGTTCACCAAACAACACAAGTCGGATTGGGGCAGTCTTTGTGTGTTGGTGAGGGATTTTTGCTATTAATGAAAGAGTCTGATGTCTTCATTGAATGATATAGTTATCAATTAATTTTCAAAAGGTATTTATGACACTTTACTAAAAAGATGTTAGGAACTTGAATTTAATCTGCTAAAATATGAAGCTGTTATATATTTTTTTCAAGACTTATGGTCAAAGATTTTTCTCTTAAAAGATTTATTTATTTGAAAGAGCTTCAGACAAAGAGGGAAAGAAAAAGAGGCATTTTCTGTGTGTGGGTTCAATTCTCAAATGGTCTCAACAGCCGGAACTGGCCCAGATCAATGCCAGGACTCCTTCTGGGTCTCCCTCAAGTGTGGCATGGGCCTGTGCACTTGGACATTTTCCAGACACATTAATAGGGAGCTAGGTGAGAAGCTGAGCAGCTGCGACCCTGTCATAGCCCAAGATTTATTTCTTGGTTGAAGAATGATCATTTGAGATATGTTGCCCTAGAGAGCCTGGGTGCCCTGAAGAATCATTTATTTTGCTGTGAAGAATTGTTTAGTTATTGTAATGACTTTTGTTATTGTGATTATGGTCAGTGCTATATAGTTGCTAAATTCTTTGCCATTCACTGTCATTCTTAAAGCAGCCCTCTGAGAAACCCTCATCTGGGAAGTTGTACTAAGAAAACCACATTGGTAGGAAAGTGGAGGTTAAGGAAGATTAAGTGTCACATAACCCCCCTTCCTACCTCCCTCTTTAAAAATAGACATTTTAGCATGTTTTCACACTTTAATGCCATTGTTTATTGTGAAAAGCCAGGAAAATTTCTTTTATATATGTGCTCCTTTAAGTCCATTGAATATGTGTTAAATTTTGAAGATATGTTCTTTTTAAAAAAATTTTTTTAAAATATAAACCTGGAATATTTATTAAAATCCGAATATATAAATTGAGTATTTAAGTCATTACTTGGGTCCACTTTTTATATGCAAAACACAGTCTTGTGCATAAGAAAATGTGGTGTGACTGGGAATAAAAAATGTTTTGAAACAAAAACATTGGCCAATTCTGTTGTCACAATTTCAGTTTCTTTTTTCTTTTTTTTAAAGCTTTATTTGAAAGGCAGAACTACAGAGAGAGAATGAGATGTTCCATTCATTGATTCACTCCCTAAAGACCATAATGGCTAGGGCTGGTCCAGGCAGAATGCAGGAGCCAGGAATTCCACCCAAGTCTGTCACATGGGTGTTGGAGACTCTAGTACTTGGGGCATTCATCTGCTGTGTTCCTAAGAACATTACCAGGGAGCTGGTTCAGAAGTAGAACAGCCAGGATTCGAACCAGCACTCTCAGGTAGGATGCCAGTGTTACAAGTGTTAATTTGCAGCGTTACCATACTGGCCCCAGCTTCATTTTTTATTCTGTAAATGAGGAATAATTAAGTTCTTCTCACAAGGAAATTGAGGATATTAGGAATTTATTGGTCCAGTGTATGCTAACGGATAGGGCTCAATACATGGTGGTCACATAATGAATGTGAACTGCTTTTCTCAGCTTCATTTTTTAGAGGTGCATTTAAAAAGTAAGAAAATAATCCTACCCTCAGTAAGTTCATAATTTAAAAGTAAAAATTGGTAGTCTATAGGGAACTTTTACTTTAACCCAGTCTAATCTTTCTTTCTTAAATGGCATCTGCTGGTAGTAGAACCCCACCCCAATATGTAGTGTTTGCCATTACCTACTCTTGCATCTAAAGCAGGGATGGGGAATATTGGCCCATATGTAAGGTACGTGAAATCAGTTGATTTGGCCTTGCCAGGCAACCGTAGGTAAACTAGAAATTGAATAAATCTACAGCAGGACAATTTTAAAGTTGATAATTTTGTGTGGCTACAAAGGATGTTAAAAGCAGGTATTTTGTCCACTGTAGGAAAATGGTTCCCTCTGATGAGCTAAAGAAAGGGAGGGCAGTGTACCTTTCTGCCTGTTACCCTGTCGCTTTTCCTAAAACTGCAGAGTGTTTCTCTGCAACGTGCTTTATCAAGTACTTTTTTGTGCAAAAAATTACTAAATGTTTATTTTTACAACATAAACATGTTATTTTCTTAAAGCACTTATTTTTAAAGAGTTATCTGGGAATAATTTTGTAGGAAAGAAGAGGTTTGATAAGGGAACTAAGCTATAAAGAAAGTGAATGTTACAAAACAACTACCTTTTAGCATTTGTTAATATTGGAAAAAGAAATAATTAGCATTTTGATTTTTGAGTATTAGGTAAAAGATTTCTGATACATTTAAAAATAGAAAATAGAGATAGGTAAAATAAAAAAAAATAATTGAAACAGCATTTCTTGGCCTAAGTTATATGATTCATCCTTACATTTTTTTGTTGTTTAAATATTTGTTTACTTTTATTGGAAAGGCAGATTTACAGAGAGAAGGAGAGACAGAGAAAAAGATCTTTCATCAGCTGGTTCACTCTTCAAGTAGCTACAGTGGCCAGAGCTGAGCCTATCTGAAGCCAGGAGGCAGGAGCTTCTTCTGGGTCTCCCATGCGGGTGCAGAGTCCCAAAGCTTAGGGCCATCCTCAACTGCTTTCCCAGGGCACAAGCAGGGAGGTAGATGGCAGGCAGAACAGCCAGGATATGAACTGGTACCCATATGGGATGCCGGCACTTGCAAGGCGAGGACTTTAACCACTAGGTTACTGTGCTGGGTCCTCATCTTTAAATCTTTGACTAATGTTGATATTTTTTGACTTTTTCAGGCATTGGAGGTGATCCTTTTAATGGAACAAATTTTATTGACTGCCTGGAAATCTTTCTGAACGACTCAACCACAGAAGGCATCATCCTGATTGGTGAAATTGGTGGTAATGCTGAAGAAAATGCTGCGGACTTTTTGAAGCAACATAATTCAGTAAGTCTGGGTGCAGGACGATATAGATAGCTCTTTGCTGTTGAGTAACATCAAAGATTTGCTTTAGAAGTTGTGTGTATGTGTATGTGTTTTCCGTCTTTGGAGCTGGACCTTTGATATCACTTAGACTATTCTGGCTTCTTTGGATTTTTTTTTTCCCTCTTTCTTGCCATCATTGTTCTCTGTGTCTCCACTGCGAACCTTCCTCACTAGGATTCACCTCATATTTTGTGGTGGATAAGTTGGCCTTCTGTTGAACAGCGAACATTCAGGCCATCAGCCTAAAAACCCCACTTAGCCAGCAGACTTACATCTTCACCTGTGATTGGTCTTTTTTTCTTACAGTTTCAGGGGGGAGACAATTGTTGTTTCTAAACATCTTATCCCTTACATTTGTTGCCCGATTACCTCTCTCTGGCTTTGGACTTTGCTTTTGTAGCTTTCCCACTGATGACATGCTTTAATCTTGCCATCTGTGAAGGCTTTCCTTGTTGCCTTTGTGTCAGATGTAAAGGAGTAGAGAGGAGTAGCCTTATAGTTCTCTGTAGGTTGAGGGAGTTGAGCTCTTTGTGAGTGAAGGAGGGAGAAGAGGTAGAGCAGGCACAGTAATGACCACCACAGTGACTGTTTGCTCTGGCCATGATTATGTCCAAGAACCATGGGGAATAACGTGCAGGTAATTTCCAAAGTTTCTCTGTTGCCTATGGGTGAGTGGAAAAACAGCTCTAGGAAGCCAAGCAAGAGAGTGGAGATAACTTTCTATGCGTATGGGAGAGTGGAGGAATGAATGAATGAAATGCCATAGAAAAGTAATGAATGCTGGAGAGTTAAAGAAACTAAGTATTATGCCTCTAATTTGATACACACAAAACAGTGCATTTATTTGTGCTTTAGGGATGTTTAAGAAGTACTTTGAATATGTGATTTTCTTTTATGGTGATGTTAACCCTAACTCCCCCAAGATGTGACTGAACATTGCCCTCATTCTGGCTTCTGTATGCTTCCTAGAAGTTGTGAGATCTTGGACGTGTTTGTTGGTCTGATGCTTCCACTTTCCTACCTTGGTAATAGGGAGGATATCCCTAGCAGAATAAAGTAGTAGCTGCCTCCTCAAATTTGTTAAGGGTTGGAAGTTCAATGACTTAGCAACGTGTAGCCAAATAGGACTTGCATATGGTTAGCACTCTTGTTGAACTGCTTGCTGCTGTTGAGTCTCACTCTCCTGATACTGTATTTGCAGAGGTTGCCATGCCCTTGATTCCTTTTTCATCCTTTATATACTGTTGATTTTTCTCCTGGTTTTCTTCCTCTTTCTCCTTCCTGTCTATTTAAGTGAAAATGATAATCCTAAATATACTCTGTCATACATTCTGCAGTGTCCAGTGACAGGAGTCTGAGAAGTATCTTTGTTTTCTCTCATCCTCTGTTTCCACTGAGTTACAAAGCTCTGTCTCTCAGACTTTAGTGCTTTGTCTAGATTCAGGGCTCTCTCTGCCCCTCTCCCTACTGTGCTCAGGACTGGACTTTTTTCTCACTGTGATCTTCTCCATGATACTACCCTTCTTGATGTCTCTGCTTCTTTCCCCCAACTGCCTCTGCCCAGTGTCTCCCAGACCATCCTGATGTCCTTCTGAAATACAGACATTGTCGCCATTTGTCCCTGGTTAAAACCAGAAAGCATCTCACATGACGTGACAGATAAAGGGCAGGGTTAGCATGGTATTCTAATTCCTAGCCCAGTACCCAGACTTCCTTTTTAGGTCCAGTTCTTGTCCCATGTCACACACCAGTTTTCCTTCCCTAAGACATTCTAAGTATCTGACTGTCACTCCAGACTGCATTATGAACAGCAACTGTCATCTTTACTCTTGGAGCCCGGCCCAGTTCCCAGACGCAGTAGGCACAATAAATGTCGAATAAGAGAATAAATAATGTATTGTTAGGAGATCAGAGTGAAATGCTGGTAGATCATTTTAAAAGCAGGAAAGTTGTGAAATTTGAGATTTAAGTAAATATTTCTTAAGAAAAAATAAGTTAATATGGCATTATATGATGTTAAAATGAATTTTAAATGTATTTAGACCCAACTCTGTATCTCTTGAATAACTTAAATTTAGTGGGAAACTAAACATATACATTTTATTTCATTTGGCACATGTTTTCCTATTTTTAGTTTGTCCTTATGGGACTGATTTTTACATGGAATCTAATGAGTATGAGATTCTAGGTTTAGCAGTATCTGGCACAGTACTGGGTGTGGAGCAGATACTCAATAGACGTTACCTGCTGCTAACATACTGTTACAGTTCATAACAAGCAGAAGTGCTTTAATCTTTGTCTTGACCTTTAGAGAAAGACATTTTCTTTAGGAATGAGGAAACTGGCACGAGGAGGTCAGCAACCTGCCTGTGGTACACATCCAGGGGTGGGATTCGTGCCCAGGTCTGCCTAACTTTACCACCCTACTGTGAGAGGATCAGGAGGAAGATGGTGGGGGTTAAGGACAGAGCCAGCTGTCAGGCTGTGTGTGTATCATCCTACCTGGGCTTTCAGCTTCTTATAGCTTGTTGTTAGGCTCATATAATGACCAAAGGGCCATGAGTGAATAAATAAGGAGCTGTTATTTGTTTTTTGTCACAGATACTATGATACATGCTATATGTACAGAAATGAGATCATAATCCTGTTTTTAGTTTTGTACAGGAACTCTTGGGAAACAGGTTACAGACATTTTACTGAATGTAGTAGTAGAGTCATATAAAAGCAACAGAAGTATAACTGAAGAAATGAGGTGATCAACTGGAAGAACGTTTGTGGGGTGTGGAGAAAAGTCAGGAAAGGTTTATGGGGAAGAAGACATTTGACCTAGGTCTTACAAGTTTGCTAAATATCCAAGGGGAGTAGAGAAGGTTCTCAACAGAGGCCAGTGTAGATAGAGCAGTCTGAGTTAAAGACAAAAGGGAGAATGTAAGGCGGCACATCTAGAAGAATCAGTGTCAGACCGTGCAGCAGTGTGCGTAAAGTCAGGGCTGTGGAGTCATACGCGAACCGTTTACTGCAGTGTACCTCTAGTAAAAACAAAACAGAAGCCTTACTGTGCTGATCAGAACTATTGATTTTATGAAGTTTTGACAACTGAGTCTGTATTTTGTGATGAGATGGTAAGTAAAGCATTTTTGCAATAGGGGTTGTCAGCTGAACTACCTTAGTTGCTTTTTTTCTGGAACACCAATTTTTACTTTAAAGAGGTACTTGCAGACAGAGTGGTTTTTCAGACTTGGATGTTTGGCATCACTTGTCTCAGAAATGAAAAATGTGAACCTGCTGTTATCAGGAAAGCAACTGATATTTGTTGCTAATGACAGAATTTGAGGTTTCAGGTAAGTATTACAATTTTGAAAAATTCGTGTCTGCCACCCTGAGCTTGATGATGTCTCCCTATTTAGTGACTTTTAGTGAGATTTGATAATGCTGGCTGTGGTTTATTTGAAAGTTTTACATAACTCAGTGAATTGATATTTTCCAGCTTACCAATGCATGTTACAAAATCATTGTGGGTAAGATATGCAAAGTATAAGACTAATGGGTTTCAAAGTGACAAAGGACTAAGATTTTATTAGCATAATTTCAGATTCCAACATTACATCTAACTTTTGAGAAATTGCCACTTTAGGAACTTCAGTTATCTGAAATGCAATTCACATACTGCTTCTTTTTCTAGCTTTGTATTTGTGTAACTCCAGACTTTTTTCTTACACTTCAGCCAAATTAACATAGAGTAGCATATTGACTACAAAAACAGATATCACTTTTTTATTAAACATTCAAGACTTGTGACACATTTTAAAATGCCACTGTTACTAGAATATTTTTAATAGTTTTAAGTTGTTTTTAAATGAACTAAGAATTTATTAAAAATTTTTATAAAGTTTCTATTTAATTTTGAATACAGTAAATATTAAATATAATCTGTATGAACAAAAGCTGTTTGAGATCCTCAGGAATTTTTGTAACATTTTCTCTGATCGAATAGTTTAGGAGCTGCTGGTCTAGGGGAAGCTCTTAGTGCTGGAATCAAAACCGTTACCATCGAAGCACTTTGGTCAGGTTCTGCCTCCTGTAGGCCTCTCTGCTTTGCTTGTATTCTTTATTACCTCTGAACTATTGGAACTGTCGCATTACCTTTTATTGTGAAATTTAACTGTATATTCACATTTTCTTCTTGGTATTTCATAACTGATAGTGATATATATTTGATATTCTTCAACTACAGAGTAAATACAGAGTATATACATTCTTTTTTGTATGTATTTTATAACTCAGAATCTAGTACAGTGATAGTTTTGTGCTTAGATATTATATATTAGAATGGATTTTTGTTAAATGAAATCAAGAAATTCAGAGTAGAAAAGGCTCTTCAGCATTAATCTCATTCAGCCATTTAATTCCAAAGATGAGGAAAGAGGTTTGAAGAGATGTATCTTGTCCAAGGTACATAGGAAATTCAGTCTGAGTCCTATATGCTTTCTGCAATACCTTTCTGCCTCATTTCTTTAGCACATTTATTAAGGGTGAATAGACAAAATTAAGTTGAAATGAAACAGTCATATGTGTGTTTCTTAAGTCGTTATTAATCCAAGTCATGTATCACATGTTTTCAGATTTCTCTATTCCAGTGAATGATTGATACGTTTATTTGTAAAGCAGATTGTGCCAGTGAAACAGCAGTTTAATTTCCACCAGATATAAAAGCTTGCCAGGATTGTTTTCCCGAGTTTATATTGGAAGTTGCAACATTCTGGGGGGAATACAACAGGTATTTCATTCATAGTGTAGCATTTGCGTTGGTCTTCCTAGGGTGAATGATGGATATTCTCTGTCTCAGCCATTTACCATTTACCAGCAGGATCATGGATTTGAGTTCCAGTTCAGATTCTTAAGAGCATTTTAAATGCCACTTTGTCTCCAGGGTCCAAATGCCAAGCCTGTAGTGTCCTTCATTGCTGGCTTAACTGCTCCTCCTGGCAGAAGAATGGGTCATGCCGGGGCAATTATTGCTGGAGGGAAAGGTGGAGCTAAAGAGAAGATCTCTGCCCTCCAGAGTGCAGGAGTGGTGGTCAGCATGTCTCCTGCCCAGTTGGGAACCACCATCTACAAGGTGAGCTCTAAGCCGAGTGTGTGGAGTCACACTGGGTCCTGGAAACCATTTTCTTTTCTTCTGAGTCTTCATCTTTTTTTTTTTTCCATTCTGAAATGCATTTAAATTGTCTTAAAGCAACTCCATTAATGTTCTAATGCATTAATTTGGCACAACCAAGAATAATGTAATTTTAAAAATTGCCTTTAAACTTTGGGTTTTGTTTTTTTTGTAAGTGGCACAATACAGTTTGTAGTACAGCATTTTAAGAACCAAAACAGCCACACATTTCATTTTCTAGGTACCATGGAAGGTCTTTGAATGTAACTGCCCTGACCCCCATAGGAGTTGTGTTACTGAGGAGAAAGTTTGAGACTGAGGAGAAGAAATGGAAATTACGTGAAGAGGGAGTTGCTATACAGGGAGGTCTACAAAAGAGGATGGGGAGTTTCAGCCTTTAACTTCTGGCCCCGACAGTTGTGATGCCATTGTTGTGTATAGGTTGGAGGAGTAACTTACCTACTTCCTCTTTTCCCCTACTTTTTGTCGGATGGTGCAGCTTGAGGTATTCTACACAAGGAGTTTTTACCATTTTGGCACCTAAAACTTTAAAGCAATTTTTATGATGGTTGTAGACTTGCCAAAAACAAAAATAAAATAAGACAAAAATAATAGCCAAAACAATAGTAACCCTGCTTTTTTAAGCATGTTGAAAATCAGCACAATTTGTTTTCCCAGAAAGCAACGATATTCATAGAATTTTAAAGTCCTGATTTGATAGAATCATCTTTGCTGTTAGGAATAATAAGATGGATTCCTTGTTTTATTGAGACTTCTCATGTTCTTTGGAACATACTATGTGTCATGGTGTTTGAAATTAATCTAGGTGATTAGTAATGTACGAAGAAGTGTTTTATTTGAAAGTGGGGGAGAGAGATTGAAAAACATGGTTAATTCACATTAAATATGTGTGTTACCATTTCATTCCAGTAAGGGGCAGTAGGCACCTATACATTTTGTCCAACTCTAATTGTAACAGTCTAGAAAACTATGATTTTTAGTATTGTTTCCTGAAATCATTCTTGGTTTAAGGCATATATTTGTCTCAAGGATTTCTAAAGTCCTTGACATTTTGTTCAAATTCTGAGTCTGTGTTTAGTTTTAATCTTAGAAAATATAAGCAAACCTGTTTGAGGTTTGTATATATAGTATTATGGATTTGTGTAAGTGCGGTGAAATTTAACAACTCCTGATAATGATACTGCAGGGAAAAAATATTAATTAGAGCCTCCCACTCAGCCTCTGGATTAGGAGGTGTAAAATTGGAGCCTTGAATCTTGCTTAGTGCAAGCTGACACAGACTAACTTGAAAGTTGCTACGTTGTGTTCAAGCACCCTTCTAATACATTGTGCTTCTGTAATCTGGTTCAGAGATATTAAAGATAGTAGATTTCAGAATCATTTTGACCATGTATGTAATTTGGATCTTTTATCTCTTTGTCTCCTCTCAATTCTCCCATTTTTTTTTTTCTTTCTTCCTAAAGGAATTTGAGAAGAGGAAGATGCTATGAAAGAACAAAGCATAAAGTTTCTTAAACTTGTGGAGTGAATCATGACATGTGAACCAGTGGCAGTTTGCTTCTCTTGTCCATTGATTGTCAGCCTATGTGCCTGATATTGATCTTTTAAAACGATGGGAAGCCAAAGCAAGATTTAAAATGTCCTAAATTGAGATGTTTTCACCTCATTGTATAACAGAGACAGCCAATAAATCTACCTTGATTTGAATATGGTTTTGGAGACTTGTTATTTTGGATACTGGGGAGAGAGAGAGAAATAAAGGAATGTGTGTGTGTGTGTGTGTGTTGGGGTTGTGGGGTGGGAGCTTTGAAGTGCATATCAGGAGCACAAGAATATTATAACTAAGACTTTTAAAACAGACTTTATTTGAAAGGCAAAATGACAGAGACAGAGCTCTTCCTCCTGCTGGTTCTCTCCCCAAACAGCTGCAGTAGCTGGTTCTGAGCCAGGCTGAAACTAAGGACCACGGACTCCATCCTGCTCTTCCATGTCAGTGGCTGGGACTCTGCTGCCTTCCCAGGTGCATTGACAGGAAGCCAAGTTGGAATCAGAGTATCTGGGACTCAAGAAGCAAACGTGGTACTTAACTATCTGTACTGCAGGACCAGCCCCTGAAACTAAAAAATTTGAGAGAATGAGGCTGATAATTTTATCATGCCTTTGGTCTAATTATCTACACTAAGAATGACCTTATCTTTTGAATCAGTTATTTCATACTCGCATATACTAATTTCTATTTTACTGGGTGGATTATAGGGTTATAAATAAATGTATAAAGTTCCTGATATGTAAGAAGGCAACTTAATGGTCATCAGTGCCTCTATTATCACCACCACCATAGTCATCATCAGTATTGCAGGCAGCTCTGTTTTTGTTCAGGAAATGGGGAGTCTTGCTTAATGCTGTCCTTTTTTTGTGAAGGTAGTCCTCTACTCCATACAAAACCTAACTTTGTTTGACATTTAGGAAACATCTGGAGGCCCAGTGCCATGGCTCTGTGCCCAAATCCTCGCTTAGTAAAGGCTGGGATCCCATATAGGTGCTGCTTCCTGTCCTGGTTGCTCCACTTTCCATTCAGCTCCCTGCTTGTGGTCTGGGAAAGCAATCGAGGACGGCCCAAAATCTTGGGACTCTACACCTGCATGGGAGACCTGAAAGAAGCTCCAGGTTCCTGGCTTTGGATTGGCTCAGCTAGGGCCATTGTGGCCATTTTGGGAGTGAGACAGAAGATGGAAGATCTTTCTGCCTATCTCTCTGTAAATCTGATCTACCTTTCCAATAAAAATTTTTTTAAAAATTTAAAAGATGCTTACTGAAGAAAAGCAGGGACAAATCGGCTCTCTGTGCTTAGAAGGGAGCTTGTTAGTGTAAAGCAATTCCAATGGGTAATTGTCGATAAAAACCAAGCATGCCTGTCATTAGGAATTTATGTTGTGGACAGAGACAAATATTTTTAAATTGTGTAAACTGCTTTGAAGGCAATGAAAAGCTTCAAACCAAGAGCTTTAAACCAAAAGCTTCAGGAAGTAGTGTTAGGGAGAAGGCTGATGGCAGTCATCCCTGGGGAGGAGAGAACCTGAGCTGAGAGGGTGCAGCCATGCAGCAAGCCATGAGCACCCAGGCAAGGGGAACAGCCTGGGTAGAGATGGGAGGAGAGATGAAGCAACAAAAGGTGCACAGGAAGAGTTAGAGGAGGATTGGGGAACCCTGGGGAAATGTGGGAGTTTACATGACTATCTGCAAACACTGCTGAGGTACTATGAGCAAGTGCCCAGGACAGTGATTGGCTTTGGCATCTAGAAGAATTCCTGCACACAACAGGCATAGTGACCACCCCGATACCCCATGCCAGTAGGGTACCTGTGTGGAGACTGAGGTGTGTGGGGCTGCTCATGGCAGGGGTGAATTCAACTGCATCTTGGCCTTGGCATACATTCTGGACTTGCCCTTCTAATGTGTCTAGGACAGCCTGGGCTGACAACCCTGCCGGGCAAGAAGGCACTTCATCTTGGGTTTTCTCACAAGGCAAAGATCTCTTATCTAACTTACAGAGCTTTGTTTCAGTGATGCAGTTCAGATGAGGGGTACCTGATATTTCTTATCTCAGTTTTCCGTAACAATACCGTTAAGATGGAGATGACAATAGAGTAGTTAAAATGTCCATAGCCTACATTGGAGTAGTTGAGGTTTTATCCCAGCTCTACTCCCAGTTCCAGCTTCCTGCTTATTTATACTCTAGGAGGCACTATGCCCAGACTTTAATTGGGCTCCTGCAACCCATGTGAGAGACCTGGATTGAATACCTGGCTCCTGACTTTAGCTCAGCTCTTGGCATTTGGGGAGTGACCCAACAGATGAGAACTCTGTTTACTCCCTCTGTGACCCAAACCAACCAACCAAATAACAAAAACCTACTCAGAACTGGGTAACTTAAACAATAAATGTATCTCATAGTTCTGGAGTCTGAGAAGTCCAATGCTGAGATGCAAAGGTCAGGTTCTGGAGGCAGTGCTCCTTCCTTTATACAGGCACCTTGTCATATCCATCTGCCATGGAAGGACTTAGCTAGCTCTCTGGTTTGTATTAAAGTACTAATGTCATTCATGGCTTAATAACCTCCTAAAGGCCCACTTCCAAACTACAGTTAGGGTAGCTAGGTAATGAATTTTGAGTGTACTTTTTTTTTTTTTGTACTTTTTTCTAAAAGAAATTTTTGTTTTTCATGCTATAGCTTCACAGGCTCAAGGATTTCTGCTTTTACTCTCCCCATTCTCCTCACTGCAGTGTTTCACCCCATAGTATTACAAGAATATAGTGCTTCAGCAACAGTCACAACTCCATCATTCTGTTATTTAAGTGAATCCTGACATTGTAGACCAATGGTAGAGACTCCAGCATCCTATTGTTGAGATACATTTAACAGTTTCATTGGGAGTCTTTTTTTCATTGGGAGTAGAGATGTATACTGCAGTGTATCTTCACTTCTTGGTATGCTAGTTTCCATTATAGAGTTCCTCTAGGTAAATATATGCACTTACAATGGTACTTTTAAAGCTTTTGTTGTAGAAACTTAAACATTTCCAAAAATATTTACTCCCATTCCCATCATTCAGGTTTGAACATTACTGACAATCTGCTGTTAATGGCAAGATCTGAACTTCCCATCTGCCTCCCTTAGTGTTGTGGCTACACAGTTGCTTGAGGTAGAAGTCATGTACATTGAAATGTGTATGTCTCAGCTGCATACATTGACAAATGAACACAAGTACCCAAACGCTCCTTTGTCATAGAACATGTTCATCATTCCAGAGTTTTATTTCATCCTGCCAGTTCTCCTCCTGCCCTAGAAGATTACCTGTATTCTAACTCACATTAAATTAATTTTGTCTGTTCTAAGGATTTATATGAGACAACACAAGGTGTAGTCTTACTTTCTGGTTTCTTTCATTCAACATATATTTTTGTCATGTTCATCAGTATCTCTGCTTGTAGAATTGGTTTGTATAATTTTTTTCCTGGCTGCATTATTCTGCTTACATTCCTTTTTGGCGTGCAGTGTTGTCCCAGGCTTTTGGCTGTTGGTTTAGAAAGTTGTGGGTTCCTTTGAGCACAAGTCTTTTTGTGAATATAATGTTCTTTCTCCTCGTAGAGATTGCTAGGTGTAGAATTGGTGCAAGTATGGTGCCTATATGTTGCAGTATTTTTCCAAAATGGTTGTGGCTTTCCATGACTATCTTAGGAAAGTTGGAGAGTTTGGTTTTCCTCATCTTGGCAAATTTCTGATGTTTTTGATCTTTTAATCTTAACTGTGGCATAGAGGTTTCAGTGGCATCTCATGGAGTTGTTATTAGCATTTTCCTGGAGAAAGATGATGCTGAACAGCTTGTAATGTACTTTCTGGCTTTTGGTACTTTTTCCTTTGTGAGTTATCAAGAAAAATTTAGCCATTTTTCTCTTGTTTGCTGTGCTCTCATCTTACGTTTTTGTAACCTCAAGTTCATACTCTCCTGTTTGCTTGTAAAACATGTATTACTATTATTACTACTTAGAAATATACACAATTAGTTGTTGGATCAAACTTAAATTAGTTTTTGTGTGTGTTTGTGTGGTATGAGGGGGAGATTAAAGCAGAGGTTTTTTTCCCTATGGATATTCAAATGAGACTAGCAGAATGTATTGAAAAATCTTTCTCTGTCCATTTAAATTACTATTGTGGTTGCCTATATATGAATGGATCTGCTTCTGGGGTATAAACTACTAGAACTTTTGTAATTCCAGTTAAATTTAGAATAAGCTTGTTAATTTCTACAGGATTTTAATTTTGATCGAGTCAAATTCCATAGTCTGTTTTGAGGTTTTGAGAAGAAATGTTACTTAACAACGTTCAGTCTTCTGTGTTTCATGTTTTGTTGCAAAATATTCAAATGTAAGCAGATTTTATACATTATATATTCTAAAATATTGCTATATACATGTATTAGATTTCACATTCTTCAAAGTAGATCTTACAAGATTTTTAAATATAAGGTTAATATAATCTATGCATTAGAAGAGTTTTAACTTTTCTCAGATCTTCAAGCCTTTTCTGAAGTCACAGATGATGTTATTTTGAGGAGATTCGTATTTGTAGATGTCCTTAATTATGTGGAGGAAAATCCCTCTCTATTCCAAGTTAGCTAAATGTGTTTCTTAAAATTTTTATTTACTTACCTTCATTTTTATTTTTATTTGGAAGGCAGAGAGACAGGGAGAGAGAAATAGAGGAAGATCTTCCACCTGCTGCTTCTCTCCTCCAATGCTGCAGTCGTCAGGGCAGGGCGAAGCTGAACCCAGGATCCTGGAACTCAGTCTGAGTCTCACATGCGATTTCCAGGGATCCATGTTCTTGAGCCATAACTTGCTGCCACCTAGCGTATGTTCCAGGATTGGAAGTGCAGGAGCCAGGACTCAAGCCAGGAACTTCCATATGGTAAGCAGGCATCCCAAGTGGAGCACTAACCATTATCCTAGATGCCCTTCCCAGCTGAATGCTTGTTATTGTTTATTGGTTTGCATTTAAACTTCTGACTAGGTGATGATTTTTCTGCAATGATTTTTCTGAATCTGTTGAGGGTTTTTTTTTTTTATAATAAACCCTTTTTTATTGGAAAGTCAGATATACAGAGAGGAAAAGAGACAGAGAGAAAAATCTTCCATCAGTTGATTTA